TGCTCTGATCTGATTTTATATTTTTATTCTCATGAATGATCACCATGCAGTGATCTCTTTTTTGCAACAACAAAAAAAGCAAATGAAAAACTTCTTAAAGTTCCCCTACTTACATGTGGAATAACATCTGCACTTCAACCATATCATTCATCACTAGACAGTACTGGATGCGTTACTAATTCTGTACTCTATCAAATAAGTATTTCATAATAAATTCGCAATGCACTTCTACTCTTCATGCCATTTTTATATAACAATACAGAAGTCTCTTAAATATTCATCTGCACAATTCATATTCCAATATCACAGTGATGAAAATTACCGGCTGTGGTATGCTCATATCGCTATAATTCCGCAAAATGTGCCTCGCCGTTGTGTTACCGTTGGTCGACAGCGGTTTAACGGGAGTTGTAGGTGATGTGAATTTTGCATATGATATCGCAGTCCGCTGTGCTTTAGCTTTCTGTACCAGTAGATGATCACCCTGATTTGGTTTTCCTCCTTTTTTTTCACCACATTCCTTCACTATTACTTCTTCTAGCTGCAAAATATAGAATAACTGAAAGTGTCACACTGCTGAAGACTAGTTAGCTCTCCTTTTTTTTGTTCTAAAAAACGTACATTTTTTCTTTCTAATTTTAAATATATAACCTCATTGGTTTTTCTTGACGAAGCTTTCAGTGAGATGGGCCGAGACGTTGGCAGTACTATTTCCTTTGATGAATCTCCAATACGAATTTCATTGACCTGAAAATTTTCGAATTCATGTAATCCTTAATAAACCAAGGATGTGTAATATTTTGCTCTGAATGCTGAACTAATAAAAAGTTTTTGCCGAGCAACCTTATTAGCCAACTGTGAAAGATGAGTAGAAGCGGGTTTAGAACCCATCGCCCAACACCACGGCTGCTTTTCAATAAGGAACTCCTGTTGTGGTCCAATCACTGAACCAGGCCTGCAAATCCGTAACCAAGCTATTGATTCTGCTGCCGTCACGCCATACTCTTTCATCAACCAGCAAGCTATCAATGTGCCGGTCCGACCTAAACCTGCCTGAAATTTGATGCAAAGAATAAATGTTTATTGAATTAATGCAGTCCAGGCAAATGATTTGTATGCTTCCAATACCTTGCAGTGAACGGCCACGCCTCCTTTGGCGCTATCAACAACATTTATAAACCGCTCGACAATTTCATCAGATGGCACTGAACCATCAACGAAAAAAAGATCTACATGCTCGAAACCTGCGTCCAAAAACCTGTAAAAATGACTTCAGTGGAAAATATTCTAAAACTGGAATTAAGGTTTCAGTAACGATACAAAGAAAACAAACCTTTTGGCATCATACATACGCTTGTTGAGCCGTATGATGGTCGAAATATTATGTGTGCGGAAATAATCAAAATACACTTCGGGTGCGTGATATGGGTAGCCTAAAATTCTCGATACTTGAATTTTTTTTTCTGTTGGCCCATATCGATAGCTCTTTTGTAGTCAGTTAAGTTTAAGCAGTGATAATGACTACAACTAAATAATTATAAATGTCTTAATTTCTAAATGGGTTTAAAAAAATCCAAAAAGGAAAAAAAAAACTGGATACTAACCATTCTCAATAACTGATTTGTTGTGTGGCCCACAAAAGCTGAGTATTTTGGTTGGTATAATCCAGTTCAGATCACCATTTTCAACCTTCTCGTAATATTCATATTCGTCCGGATCGAAAGTATCGAACGCCAACCAACCGAATTTCATCGCCTAAAATTAAATACTTATTACAAGCAAATAATTCCATATCTCTCTTTTAACATTTTATCTTACTATCATATTTATGCAGTATGTACAATACTTCAGTTTTCAAAAGGATGCACCCGATATTATTCAAAAAAAAGTAAATGAAAGCATCGCCATATCAAACTTTCCTATTGCTATTTGCTTTAAGTTTTGTTTCTTCATGTCTACACGTATCATCTTATCAAAGTCCTATCAAATGACCGATGTAGTGAAATTTAAGATAAAATGCGAAATAGGTTTACAGCTTTTTTGTAGTTATCTGCTTATTTGTTAGATCTTTTTGTTAAAATCTATTGCTTGTTAGATCTTTTTCAAATGTATTAAATGCTTTCTACGTTATTAAAACTTCTCGATAGTAATTATGTTACTTCAATTTGTACTGCTGCTGCACTATATGTTTATTAAAAATACTGATAAATAGTACAATTGCTTCCTACGTCAGTACTATTATGCAGCAGATTGTTTATCGATATTTTGATACATTAGATTACTAAGTGGTAACATTTTGGGCTACCCATTGGTTCTGCTGAGTGCTTTATTGTATTTATGAATTTTGGAATTCTTCAACAGCGAACATAATCCATCATAGTAGAGCGAGTTCGATTCCAAAAATCACAAATCGTTACATCCAAACCAATTGAAGAATGGGAAAGAATTATGCAACAGTTTTGCCTCCTTCTCTTTCTCTTTAGCGTAAGTCGTGTAAAAATTATCGCTCTGCAGCGATAAAAAAAAATCACAAATTTTACAGCAAGTTTTTAAAATAAAACATTGCTGCAAACACTGTGGATGAAATTTTCATTTTTCTTTTTAAATTGCTCTACTCTAAAAATCAAGTTGAACCACCATTACAATGCTGTTGACTTGTAATTAATCAGTACATCCGAAGCTATTATGAAAACTATGAGCTCTCTCCATATATACCTTCTCGATACTGCGAAGTACATTGTGAAGATGCAATCTGTAAGTTGCTGGGCCCATTGCTGCATCCCGAAACCCGATAAAACCATTCGGTTCCGCTTTGTGTATCCGCAAATATGCTATTTCGGCTGTCATTCCCAAATAAAGAATCTAGAAAAATAGACTGTTAAATGAAATGATTACCATCGATTACTAGTTTAACATGCTTTTAGTTAACCATAAAATATACAAGGCTGATTTATTCTAATTAATTTCCCCTCGTTATTTTTTATGTTGTTCTTCCTGTCTATGTTACTTTTGTTATTTTTCTTCCTGTATTTTATATTCGCATTTCGTTCTTGTTCTTTTTTGCACACATCAAATTTATGCTCTTGTTTTAATTGAAATTACTTCTCGCTCCTTTTCCAAAAATTCTCTGTCTTATTAACGGACTATAAAAACCAGAAGAAACTTTAGTTAGTCTATGAATTCCCGATTTGTGCGATAATTACGTTTTACAAAAAATGAAAATTAAAAGTGAGAACGTACCGCATAAGAACCCACTAAATAAGCTGTATTTACTCTGCATTCGTCGGCAGATCCACAACATACCACTATAGATTTTTCACCATCCAACCCCTAAATTAAAAAAAATTGCCCCGAAAATAATGCTTATATTAAACAAGAGTGATAAAATCTCTTATCATTTAGCTCTCCTCATAACTGTTGAATGATCTCAAGCATAAAAATGACCTATACTATTTTAAGACAAAGATCTTTTCAAGAGAAATCTTGTCTATTCAAAGAACTTATAACGGTTTTTTAATGTTTGATTCTATTATTCTTAAACATACTTCTAATCTTTCCGTAAGATTTCGACAAAATCGATAAAGAACCGACAGATTCAATGGCCCAAAATCGGAGTAGAAACTGTCATAATGCACTTCCTCGTCGACATAATAATAATCCGTAGAACAATCTGATTTTGGTCGATTTTGGAATGCACAAAAAAAGAGTTTTTTCGGAATAATTTCCGCTATCCGCCCATGCAAATTATCGCTTTGTATGAGCGGTTCTCCGGCCATCTAAGTTATGTTACAATGATGGCTCTTTTTAGCGAATGCTTGACAGAGTCTTTAAATCCCTGCCAGATTTACATAATTCATCACTGGGCATTGCTGTGTTTTTTTCTCACTGATTGCTCCGCAATACACCGGAACAGTTCCTTTCTGCTGAAACTCGATTAAGTTCAAAAAATGTAGGTGCAATCTGTTTATGAAACCTCACCATATGTTTTATAACTTTAGAACTTATACCTGCTTGAGGATCCCTCAATATTATTATGCAAATGCAAATTTGGACAAATAGAAAAGTAATGTAACCTGATAATTTGGATAATTTCCAAAAAATTTTTTTTACTTAACGATTTACTTAACTATAAGTCCACTGAATTTAATCTTATAGCTAATATCAAAAACTCATGACAATCTTACCAGAATCTGAGAGAATGTCTCGATACCACTTGTAATATTAGATGTTATTCTATCCAAAAATAGCGTAACTTGACTACGCAAACCCCGTCAATGATTACATTCCGAGCTGACATACTTTTCAAAACTCCTTTATCTCAAATTTATATGTGATAAATAATGTAAATTAATCAAGAACCCAACAACTCTGGGAACACACACACGCACGTTTGAATTAACACATTACTTAATAGCTAATTCATATGTTTATGAGTTAAAAGGATCCATTTTCTTTAATATTGTACTACCGTACAAGTACCATATCTCCATAAGTATCGTACTCTCATACATCAATCAATTAAAAATATGCCATTGATAAGTAGTCATTTCACCCACACTATTTACAGAATATCTACCCAATAATTAGCACGGCTAAAAGCCGTGACCTACTGACCTCACCAATATCCCGCATCCACGCCCTCTAATGCCCTGCCAGCACCATATGCCCCAAAATACGGCCCGTTATGAAAATACTCGTCCTGTACGGTTTTTTGTGTGGTTTGGAAGGCTTTCTCGGAAGAGTATTTTGTCGAGAATTCCTTTTCTAATATTCTTTTATTTTATATCAGTTCACGGATTGAAGAAAATATGGTAGAGCATGCAAAAGGACGGGATGATTTTCCGAGTATTCCTTAGTACTTCAATTAAACCGGAAACTTTTTCATGATTCTGGAATAGAGAGATTTTTGATGATTAGGACAAGGAAATGATAATTTTTTCAGACTTTTTTTTTCTTCATTTAAATGGAATGTTGACGAGATGGTTAGAGGATAAACAACAATGGGAAGCTGTGAGCTTGAAAATGCTGATTTCGTGGAACCGGATGAGGAATTTGCTGAAGATGATTTATTCGGTTTGGATGATATGAGCGAGGCTAATTTGGACAGTAAGTTTTTATTTGAACGAAAAAATTGGAAGTCAATGGAAGTAGAGGAAAATATTTAGAGTTTTAGTTCGAGATGTAAGTTGTATCAAAACAATATAGACAAAATGATAACGAAGAATAATTTATTTCAACTCATAAGGACTATATAAATTAATTTTGTTGACCCAGAAAAGTTTTGAAGAGCAGAATGAGTTTCTCTGAATTCTGATTTTTTTTTTTGTTTTTCTTTTGGTTAATAAATATTTATGTAATAATCATGTTATTACATATATTAGTACTATCGATTAATACAAGTACTGCAGTCAAGTGATAATATTATTTGACTGATAGATCATTTTGCAATGGAAAAGATTATCATGTGATCATGTGAATGTAATTATTGATTAGTTTACTGATCATTAGATTATCTTTAAAAGATGACACTAAATGATTATGTAAATTGAAATTATTCTATTGATCAATTGATAGATCATGCTGAGATTGCTTATAGAATTCATTTTATGTTCTTTACTATGGAAAGGATATATGGTTAATAAATTTTTTTCAGCCTTCTATGTCAAAGTTTCTTTTAAACTTTTGCAGAAGAATTAGATTTGACTGATTCGGTTACTATCACATCTTCGTTTCTGGAACGTGATAATTTCGAAAAGGAACTTGGTTGTTCAGCAGATGATCCGTTTGCAGAAGATTTCATTGATATAAGCCAACATGAAATTGTGAATGTGATTGCCGACGGTGATTGGGTGGGAAGGTGTATATTACAATTAAATTCATTTTTTTTCATTCTATTTTTTTAGGGCATAGTTATACTATCGCATTCTTCTCTCACGTATCAGTTTTAGACCGATTGTGGTAGTCTACGCTTATCGACTTCCTTCAAATAAAACGTTTGACCATGCGAAATTTTTACGGTAATTTCTTCACGTTTCTGATATAACCATTTCTGATCGGACTATTTCCGTGCTGAAATCATTTCTGATCGGTTAAGTTCGCGTTGTTGAAGTCATCGTTTTTGATCAAGCAATTTCTTTTTTATTGTTCAGATTTTTTTTTCAAAAAAATTTTTTTTCAAGAAAACATGACAAGAACTTCATGGAAAGCTGAATATGTAGAAATTACTGATTTCTCTGTAATAAATGATATCCGAACGTAGCTGTCTTAAATGTAAAAAATGTCGATTGCAGATTTTTACAGTTTACATTGGATAAATTAGTTGAGTTAGATTATACTATTCTGTATTTCCACTATGGATTGCGAAGCAATAACAAACCATCCTTAAAATGGCTTCTTCAAGCATATTTCGTTCTAGACAGAAAGTGTGTTTTTCTTTTTTTTTGAATTCAAGAGGGATTGTTATAAGCAAAAAGTTTTCCTTTTTTTATATTTATTATTTTCTGGACTGAATTCGGAGAAATTTCATATTTTTTTATGCAATTGGTTCATCCGCTGAATAGATGTAAGATTCTATGCGAAATTGAAATTCTTAAGGCTACGATTTCTTTCCATACATATTTCTTGCTTTATATTCATAATGATCCATTTTATGAATTTCGTATAGATATAAGAAGAACTTGAAAGCGCTTTATTTGGTTCATCCGACACGATTCATTCGCATTATTTGGAGCATTTTTAAACCATTTATATCTATTAAATTTGAGCGGAAGATTCATTATGTCAATTATGTTCATGAATTGGATTCGGTTTTGCGAGTGGAGCAACTTAATCTTCCTCAGCCTATCAAAGAGTACTTTTTTTGTAACACTTAAAGTTTAAAAAGTTTCATTTGAAGTGAATGGATGACCAATAATATGTAACAGTGTGATGGTTATGCTTTTTCTTTTAAAAATTATTAATGGATGTGAGAAAAAGTTATGGTTGGTTATTTTTCAAACTATTGGTTCAATCTATTCTTTTAGCCATGATTCATCACTACTTCTGGCTTCACGCATTACGCCTGATAAATCACAGTTAACCAGAAATTTCTGCCCAACGCCGCGCCCAACGCAACAGTTCAATGTTCCGTTAGAATTGTGAGTTGTTTAAAGTATGCGAGAAATGGTGAAGTAATTCACATTGGCCTTGCAAAAAATATTATCTTGATGCAATAGTCTAGGATATGACGACGACTGCTAATATTGAAAGCATTATGTATTTCAAGTAGCTATAAAAGATATTAACATTATGAAAATGAATTGATTCAATGAATGGGATTTTGTAGCATATTATCACACAATCCTGACTGTGATGTACCTCCTGTGGTCACTGATCTCATTGCATTTTTGCGCAACAATTCATTAAACGTCGTTGGATTGTTCAGGCGATCTGCTGAAGTTAATTCGATTCGAAAATTGCAAGAACGTATTGATCGAGGTTCGTCTTAACTATGTCTGGAATTTTGTAATGATCAAAGGAAAAAAATTGAAGTCTTGCTAAGCTGGACATGTGATGCTTGTTTTTGTTTGGTGATGACTTTTCGTTGTAGGTATCCTTTAATTATTGCTTTGTTATCCGTGAAATTGTTTGCAGGTGAACAAATAGATTTTGTGAATGAAGAACTGTATAAGGATAATTTACAAGCAGCATCTATCGATGCTTCGGTTTTGCTGAAGACATTTCTACGTTCACTCGGTGAGCCGGTTACTACCAATGCACTGTACCCCAAGCTTGCTGCTCTCTCAGGTACCACTAACTCTTGATTGATCACTGATCAGTATAGGTATATTAGTTAAAGTATGATGTCTATTTTATTGTAAGCAATGTACTGGATGTAAGAATGTTTAAGAATTCTGTACGGATTAGATGAAATAGAAAGGCAGTGATAGAATTTATGTAGCGGCACTCTGTTTTTTAGAATTGCCAAAGGACAGTAAATTAGGAGCAATCATTGAAATTGTGGATGCTCTTCCACTTGAAAATCGAATGTTGTTGAAGACGGTATGCCAGTTCTTGACAGAGGTTTGTTGATTTCCATTTTTGCAAATTATATTTGCTCGTTTTATTCACTTTAAGCAATTTTTATTAATAATCGATTCAGTGATTATTCAGGAATATTCTTTTCAAAAAATGTTTTTATACCATTGTCATTACATGTCATCAGTTTTTAAACTGCTAATGATCCCTGTTTACGTGATTTTTCGATTTGTTATGACTGAATGATTTTATATATTTATTGCTTTTTAGGTGGCTGCTCATAGCAAAGAAAATATGATGAATGCTAACAATCTTAGTGTCGTTTTCGGCCCAAATTTAACTTGGCCTACAAATCGCGAGGTAAAATTAATAATTAAAATAAATTAATAACTTTTCATAGTACCTTCATTAAGTTTTTTGGCAACAACCATTTTTGTTGAAAGACAGCAATAAAAGAGGTTGAGAAAACTTTTTCACTATTATGCTGATTCATCACAATTTATTCTTTTTTTTTTCAGGTTCCAGTAACTCAGTTAAATAACCTGAATAATTTCTGTTATCGTTTGATCATAGACTATGATAAAGTATTCAAGGGAAAATAATACATATCCCATGGGATCTATGTTGTCTTTTGGAATTCCTATGTTTAAACTTTTTTTTGCTCAGCCATACGTTAATCGAAAGACTTGAGGATAAGTTTTCCAAAGATTTCATCATGTGATGTTTATATTTGATTAGTTGAAGAGATTGATATTCGGCTTTATGCTTTGATCATACCTCTTTCTCGTATAATATTGAGTATGTGGTTGTCTAGTTAAATTGAAGGATGAAAATAGCGGTTAAGTCACACTGCGGTAATCTTGCACGCTATTATTCAATATTTTCTTTGCTAAGTATAAATAAAGCGCCTAGCGCTGTAATTTCTTGAGAGGATTTTTCAGTAGTATATGCTTTTATATACAGTGTCATTCAAGTTAAAAAATAATGCTGGCTTCCATAGGCACTGCTTCATTTTATTCATAAATTTCCTATAAGTAGATAAACTATGTGTAACATAGCACTTATTTATTTTATGCTATCAATTTAAATCGATCAATGGTGAAGATTGAAACTGTGATATTTATATTCACTTCACTTTGACTAAAAATATGATGTATACTATTATAGTGTTATTAACATAACTATTTTTCTAATCACATTGATTGCGAAGTAAAGCTTTATACAATGCAATTTACTTGGCAACATTTATATTTATTGGCGTATTCGTTCATAAGCAAGTTAAAGAAATTCTTGACATATAATTAAAACAATAAGTGATATATTCTTATCCGATAATGATAAACGCAGTAGATGAAAGAAAAACAGTGGGGATATCAATCTATTTTGTTCCTTCAAATTCCTTCTTTTTTTCTTTTCATTCTGAAAAAATGCAAGAAAAACAATTCAGACGATGTAGAATTAATGGAAGATTGATTAATCCATTCAGTTAAATTGTCTTATCAGATTTCGATATCACAGTTGTTCATTGATGATATGGTCAATGTTATCTTTATGATTTTATAGAAAGCATCACAAATCAATTATTATCATGTGGCATTAATCAGTTGTTACAATTAGCACAGTTTAAAGTGAATTTTAAAATGACATTTACAGCATAATTTAAATGGAATAAATGAAATTTATAATTGTATGTGCCATCTATCATACTGAATCATCGGAAATGAACTTATGGAGATAATTCAAATGAAAAAGTTTGAAGCGTTCAAACAATATTAATCATCTTGCTGGGCAAGTGAGCAAATATGAATCAATTTACAAGTGCCTTAATTTTTTTGCAATAAATCTTTAGTTTTTTTTTCCTGCTTTTGTCTTTCCAATTTTAAAGTTTTTCGAAATTTTGTTAAAATATGAGTAGAAATTAGCAATGAAAATTTATTAACAAATATCTAATATGCTTGATATATTACTTTTGACTATCATATTCATGTCATTCGGTTAGCATTATCATATTTTCATTATCAACTTTTATGATCTCCAATACTTTTATTGTTATTTTTGAGAAACTAAGTTTTGAAAATTCAAAAAAGTAAAAAAAAAATTAATTGATATCGATAATACGGATACTACTAGTTTTTTTTTGCTTTTTTTTCAAATTTGATATGATATAATTTACATTTTATTTTTAACTGTATATTTATTACTGTGCAATAAAATTAATGCGATTTTCCATCTGTTCGCACAAAAATGATGCATAAAATTCTTTTTTATTTTCTTTTTGTTAAAAAAAAGCATTTTATTTTTTAAATGTCATTGCTACGGCAACAGTTTTTTTTTTTACTTTCAAATTTCAAAACTTTACTCTTCCCTTTTTCTTTTTATCAATTTATTTTCATTGTTACTCTTTTTTTTTTTGATAATTTTTGCATATCATTTTTTTTATAAATTTCAGCAAATTTTCTTCTCATAATATTTGGACTTTTTTTTGCACCTATTCCTTATGACATTTACAGTTTATGATGCTGTAATTATAGCTATAGATATTACAGGAAAAATAGATGAAGTCATACAATTTAGTAAGTTTGAAATGTTTTATTTTTGATTTTTTTTTTTAAAAAATGATTATTCATTATTGACATTATTAAACTATATATTTGTTGTTCTTTCTACAGAAATCTGAACATTTGTCATTTTATTGCTCCATTTTATTTCATTAACAAATGATAAAAAAATTATTGATAAGTACGGTAAGGAAGTGAAAAATTTTTATAAACCCATTACTAAGTGATGACAGGAATGTGATAATAGGTCAAATGATGATTAGTGAACGTATTTACAATGATTATGAAGCCGGAATGTATTAATTATATGACATTATCATATAATTGATACATTCCGGTTTTATAATCATTGTAATATAATTATCATATGGGCGATAATTCTCAGGTGCTTACATTATAATTAATATATATGTTAGCTTTTTAATATTTCACCTTCAATTATTTTAATTTCTTTTTAATTATTCACTTCCTTCTTCTTTCTTCTCATATTAATTTTATTATGATCTAATTTTATTTATTGTTAAAAATAATAAATTTTAATCACTTTATGGTATTTTCAATATTTTTACCAATTTTTCGAAAAGTTAATAAAAGTAGTGATTAATCGAACATATTTCATGTGATCGATGGAAAAAAGGAAAATTTTTGCTTACAAAATGTTGAATTATTTGATCTGTACTTTACTAAGCAATTATCATTATGGTTAAACTTATATCTTCTATTATTTTTTTGCAACTTATAATTTTAGAAATTATCTGTACAACTAATTATCAATGAATGTATTTTAAATTTTGAAAATTTTCAGTTTTTTTTTTGAAATCAATCAATTTCCAAAATTGATCCAAAAAAAGAGAAAAGATTAAATACAAATAGCTTTAGCTTAACATTATCAGATATTTAATATTATTTTTTTTAAAGATGAAATAATAATAAAACATTTTATTTTTCATTGTTGTACTATTGGAAAAGATTTCTGTTTCTGTTTTTTTTCTTCCCAATTCTTTTCTTCTTTCGTCCTTTTCATTTGAAGAATGAAAAAATGAAATTATTTGAATGCCTCAAGAATGAACTATTAATTATGAGAAAAGTGGCAATTTGAGCACTTGTTTATCATTGAACAATTTAAGCTTTCTTATATCAAACATCGTTATCAATTCTTTGTCGTTAAATTTTTCCATTAAATTTTTGAAATTAAAAATGAGCAATGTTTTAATATTCGAACAAAAAATTTTGTTTTACAAGAAAAAATGGAAATTTAACAAATGTTTATGACAGCGAAGAAATTAACAATGGATTTTGGAATGGAACTCATATGTAAAAAAATTTACTGATTTAATGATATGCAATTTATTTATGAAAAAATGTTGTGAGAGAGTATAGAATTGTAGTCGGTGAAAAAGCGAATTGAAATAATTGGCAATAAAATAATAGAAATGGTTTCTTTCAATAGAAAAAATAATAGAAATCGGATTGCTAAATCTGGAATGTTATTTATGGATTGAAATATTTTTAATTAAAATTGTGCGAATGTTTCTTTCCATTTAGTCTTTTCTTACGAGTCATTTTGCAATATTTGAGCATAATTTTATGATTTTCAGAATCGATTTATCTGTTTGGCTACACATTAGTAATGTGCGGTTTATTAGCATCAGTCAATGCTAACCACAGTGATAACGATAATAAGTTAGCTTTATATTCCATATTTTCTAGTTTTAAAATCATTTCAAAATTTTATCTCTTTTTATTTTTTCACACTTCTCCATGTTTTTAAAAATTTTCCCACAATTCTTAAATCATATCAAATTTCACTCATGTCATTCAAGTTATTTCATTTATTTTTTAAAAATTGTTTACATGTAAGAAGTTAATTCTTCATTTTACACTTTCATTATGATCAATTTATTTGCACAAACTTCAAGCTAATGTATATGTTATATACATATATAATGCCATAAATTAACATTTTGCATTTTATTTCAATGTGACAATTTTTTATCAACAATAGCAAGAAAATTTTGAATTCAGTAAAAATAGTTTTTGGTTTAAAAAAGAAGTACGAAGCGAAATTAACATAATTTTTTATTGATCGCTTTTAACATTACATCACTCCAACAGTTTATTGCTTCAATTTGCATTATTAAATGAAAAGAATTGTACTTTAAATTTAAAATCCTTTTTTTTTGCCACTCATTTTCCTTTCTTTCATTCGCTTCTTTCCATTGAATAAAAGTAATTCATTGTCATTATTTTCTAACTGATATTCATTTTGTAGAAAATAAAAATGAAAAAAAGTGTTTTTTTTAAAATGTAGTTTGGATTATCTTTTGTTTTGTTTCATTATTTGTTGTTGCCATTATTGCTGTTATCAGTTATCATTTGATAAGTAATAGTGGATGTTATTGTGAAACTATAACGTGTGATTTGATGAATAAGAGAAAAGAATGATGACATATTTCAAATTGCGTCTTTCAATTTGATTCTTCGTCCTTCTTCTCATCCAATCTATCCATTACTTTCGTTCCTTTTTCTTGAAATATCTTTTTGTTTGTTTTCCAAAATTTTCTTCCGTTTTTCTTTTCTTTTTTTTTGAAATATCTTTTTGTTTGTTTTTCAAAATAATAATTATAAATGAAGGTGAAAAGAAAAGAACCAAAAGCATATATTCATTTTCTATCATTCATTTCATCCGACAATTTGATAAATAAATTTAATCCAATAGAGAAAATCCTTTTTTGTTTTTTTGCTTCAAGATGATTTATTTAGCTCAATTAATCTAACGGTAAGTTCAATATTAGTTCTCACTATTCAAATAATGGTATCGTAATAATCTTTGTTTTTTGGCTAATTATTAAGAGTGAAATTCTTCAATAATTATTTATCATACAGGGTAAGCAACTAAAAATACTATGATAACGATAATTAATTAATGCTAACAATTATAATAATAATATTATAATGATAATGATATTATTACTATCAATAATAATAGAAGTCTTTATAGCATTAGCAACAATAATAATAATACTATTAATTATTAATCATTAATAACTTTTATCTCTTCTATGTCTAAAAAAAAATTAGTTTCCAATATTATATTCCGTTATGATCCATTATTCATCAATTTCATCGTTTTACAATCAATGCATGATCTGACTGAAATTTATCAGATGAAATAGAAAGGAACGTATAATTAAAAAGTATGCGCAATATCATTTATATGAAATGCCGGTCAATCTGCGCTATTCAAATATGAAAGTGAAAGCTCACATTTGTTGTTTACAAATAATACATTGCTGCTATAAATCATTTATATTTAGCCGATTGTTTTATACTATCATTAAGGGAGATATGCTCTTCAATGATTATTATCTTCAAATTCCACTTATTGCTACCTATTATTGCCTTATTATCCATCTTTCCTCTTTCTCTTCCCACCCTTCCTCTCTTTTCTCTCTCTCTCTCTCTCTCTGTCTCTCTCTGTCTCTCTTGATTTTATTATTAACTAAAGTAATAATGTCTTCATAATACTTTTATATTCATATTTTTTTTTTTAAAATGCAAAAATAAGCATTAAATAACAAAGCAATCATTTTAGGCCTACCTTTTTATTTTTTTTCCATTTAAAAAAGTATTCAGATATGAATGTTTTCGGGAATGATAGTCAGTAAGAGAGGAAGGAAATAATATGATTAAAAGATAATCAAAAATTTAATTATTAATGATAGGATAGTACTAGCACGAAGAATTATTAATCACCAATTGAAAGAAAAGAGAAAAAAGATGAAAAAGAAAATTTTTATTCGGAAATGGAATTTTCCACTTCTTTTTTAGATCTTTTTTTTTTTTTAAATCGCAATAAATAAAAATTTTGTGAAAATTTGATTACACAAAAAAATTCAAACTTCAAGTTCATTAATGATTATCGATCTTGCCTGAATTATTCTCAATCATAGTATATTCTATGAAGTTTAAGTTTATGAAAAGCTAGCAGTATAAAATTTCTTGAATTAGTTAATTTATTTCACTTCAGATCATTGCACAGTATGAAAACTGAATGTCATCTGGAAACTGTTTCGCAATATCTGTCAGCTACTGAAAAATATCATAAACTTAAAAGGTTACTATTAATCTCATTGTTAGCTCAATTGCTCCAAATTGGAAATCATTGATCTGATATCAATTTTTAGGCTTTTTGGTGAAGCGCCTTCTTGTTTACCATCAAATCGTTTATGTGAATTGCTGTATTGGGGCTGTCGAAGGATACAATTGTGGCTTTGTTTTTATGATGATGGCAAGTTTGACTTATACATCTATTAAGCGCATTATCTACAAAAAACAAAAAAAAAAATTAAAAAAAAATTCATATAAACCATAAACGATATCAGTGGTATTGATTATTTCTCGCGTAATCAATTTTTTTGTAGATTAGTATTTTGAAACTGTTAAACCGCGGAAATTCGATGATAACAGATATTTTATCATGAGATTGAATATTAATTTTTGAATTATTCAATTTTAAGGTTAACACAGTTCCTTTACTGAACCTATCAATTTTGGACAACACATTCGCCGTTATTAGTAATAGCGAGAATTACAATAGTAATAATAGTGGTGATAAATGATAATAAAAGTGATAAAGAGCATTAATAAAAATAAAAATGATAAACAATAAAAATTTTTTTCTTCTTCATTATCAAATTTTCCAGACGTGGAAATAGATATTGAAGATTTATTATCGAATCCATTTAATACACAGCCTCCTTCGCTGAATGAATTGATTCATGCAACAGGCTTTAATAAGGATTGGATTATGTTTATGTATCGAAATTTTAAACAGGTTAAAAAATTTGGATACCGAAAAATTACATTAATTAAAGTTATTCCTGTATGTATTATAATTGTTACTACATTTATAACTGTTAAATATGCTTTAAATTATTAAATGATCATTTCTCTCTATTCAAATATCATTTAATTTTTGTGAAAATTTCAGAAAAAATTTTGACTTTAAAAAATATAAATGATAGATTGAAAATAATACATTCCATTCATAGTATTTGTTTTTTTTCTTCTTCATTTTCTAAATATTGCATAATAAGTTTACGATTTCAATCAATATTTTATATAGGTCTGTTCAAATGGACGGATGTCATTGCAACAATGGAGACGAATATTCCAATTAATATTTCCCAAATCGGCAAATACCGAATTTGCTGATCGCGTATTTCGGACAATTGCTGGTAGTAAAACTCGGAAACATATCACTTTCGAGGTATTTATTGCATGTAGTAATTTTGAATTATAGTTTAGGCAATAAATTTAATTGTATGATTGAAATCAAAAATAATTTTTAATTTTTCTTTTTTCCTTCTTTCCAGAAATTGATATTATGTTTGCATGCAATAAGTGAATGTTATTGTGCTTATGCATCGACAAGCTCTCAAAATTCATCTGCTCATTTTTCAAAGATAGCGCAATTTGTTTTCCTCTTAATGGAACCGGATAATAAAGTTTGTTTAGCGATTAATTGAATTTCATTAAAATTATCCATAATTAGTTTAATAATTGCGTCAATTTACTATGCTCATTTTTACTGCCACGATTTAATCGACGTAATTTGCTGATTTTTTTCTAATTTTAAAGTTATCATTTATTATAATTGAAAAATTTTTTAGAATACATTTATTTCAATTTATTATTGTTTGCACTTTTTTTAAGGAACGAATAAATTTGGATTCTTTTGAAGATTATGCTGAAGCTGTGTTCAGTTTAAATGTCCCATCCGTAGTTTGTAACTCAGAACAGTTATTTAGTCAAATGCTTATTTCTAATGATCATAATGATACGCCGTCTAAGCCATTTCAATTTTCGCCAAATTTCAAGCATTATACATTGCAATGTTTCAATGTAAGCTTACAAACGTTCCAATGTCAACAATTTTAATTTTTTTTTACTATTAAATATTATTTTGGTCTAGTGATATCAAGTAAATAGTAATAATAATAATAATTAGTGTTAGCCTATTAGCAATAGTAATTTATTATTAATAATAGTGGTGATAATAGACAGTAGCACCAGTGATAATCACAATAATAATTAGGACAATAATAGTGATATATTACGAATGAAATATTGAGTAAAAGTTAAGATCAAGAGAAAAAGATGAAATAGTATTTAATAAATTCATTTTGCATTTTTATTCCTTTCATGTTGTATTTATCACTTACTGTTACATTCATTTAAAATTGCTCCAAATTTATTGTAGGATTAAATTTAGGAAATGGATAATGATAACGATGGATTGATAACTGTGAATGATGTGGAAAGAATGTTAGCGTCTGAATGTAATTCGATGCGCCTTTTCAAAGAAGCTCATTTATTGCATTCCTAATATTTGATTTGGTCAGAAAATTTTGAAAAACAAAATTAAAAAAAGCTTTATTTTAAATAATATTTTTTATTCATTGTTGCATTTCGTAAAATTATTTGCCTTTCAATATTACATTTATACAGTTTGTATTAAAATTTTTATTTTATCAATTTCATTAATCGTGCAATTATTTTATGTGTAATTCTGCAAGAATTTATTATATACAAATGAATAATTAATTCTTTAACGTCTTATATTATCTCCTTATTCTTTTTTCTTTCCATTTTTTTCTTTAAATATAACTCTTTTTATTATTCATTGAAGTGAACTTTAAATCAAGATTTCGAATTATTTATTTTAACATTTATTTCATTATTAAGCATAATGATTATTAATAACAGCTATATACATTATGAAAGACTCGAAATTTTAATTTCAGCCATTCCCTTTTTTATCTCTCTCTCTCCCTCTGTCCCTTTCTTGTTGTACTCATTTAATCAAAATAATTATTTACTGATCTTGATTTATATTTAGTTCTTATTAGTGCGCATAAAAAGAATAGATAATTTAATAGATTTTTTTAACCATTTCTGCTTATTTTTTCATAACTTTTTAATGCCATTCTATTATCCTTATCATTATCATCATCATCATTTAGTTATTAAATAATAATAAATTGTAATTTTATGTTGCCAATGTTGTTGACGATGATAATGATAATGATAACATTAGTAGCGTTTGATTACATTTTCGTATGTAAGAAATTTAAGGATGGAAAGCAAAAACCAAATGGGAAAAAGAAGAAATTTGATATTTATGCAGAAATAATAAACTAAAGCTTAAACTTTTGTTTTTGCTATAAAAATTTTCCTTCCTTCTTTAGTTCTTTCATTTCATTCATTTCAAACTGATAAAAATTGATTATATGACTGATTATTTAGTCATAAATCGGATCATATCAATTTCCTGGTCAAAACTGCATCATCTTATTGCGTCCCATTGTTTATCATTTCAATAATTTTAAAGTCTTTCTCATTTGATTGTCTTAAATTCTTCAATTATAATAAAATACTTACCTGAATTGATTTCTATATCTCAATAAAATATACATATATATTTCGGTTTATCGATGTATTTACAGTACATGTATGTGTGTATGTGCGTTTGTGTGTGTGTGTATACGTGTGTATGTGTGTGTGTCAACATTATGTATAAAAATATGTGGTATCTTTTTGTTAAGCATATCAACTAAAATAACTTATCGTTTGTTGACATTAGGCAAAGATATGATGCAAAAGAGAAGTAATGAAAAAAAGTTGAAGCGTTACATTTGGCTAAAATTCGCTCTCTCCCTCTATGAATCATAAATTTTTTTCATTCATTTTTTACAAAATTTGCATCTCTAAATAACTGTATGTCATTTCTTGCAATAAATTCAAAAGAATTAGAAATTATTTGACCATCTTTTTTGTAATGGACATTATTTGACCATTCTTCATGATGGATATTCTTTCAAAAAAAAAAAAAAACGTGAATTTCCAGTAATTTTAAACGTATTTGAAATGAAATAATTGAACATAAATTATTAATTTGGTGCAATTTATTCCCATATCACTTTCTGAATGAGGCATTTCAACAATTCCATTTAATTACATTTACAGATCGCACTTAATTTGAATCTTTTTACATAGTATGATTCATTCTAATAAATAATAAAGTACTTTTATTTCCGAATAATGATAGGTAATTTTTTGCTAACTTTTTTTTTTTCCCTTTTCCTTTCTCCAAACTAACAATTATTTAATATTTACATTTTTTTTTCCCAACTATTGACAAATAATTTGTGATTTTTGCCAATTTTACTCTGATAATCACGTAATTATTGTCGAAATCTAAATGCTATATAATATTTGCTTCGTTTTAACAAAAAATTATTGATTATTTAAGATAAACAATTAATTCAGATGTGAACACTTACTCATCTGAAACCAGTTGATACTGTTAAATTTAGTTATCTCGAGTAACTAAACCGGTCTTACATATCTGAACCTGTACTTTATTATCCACAATTTTTTGATTACACAATTTCATTGTGCCCTCATTTTCGTTTGCTCACTTCAATACTCACTTATATCTTCTAGCAAAGTATACTTTCTTTAGCTTCTCTCTTCTTTCTCCCCCGCTTCATCCCAATCCTTCTTCCTCACACCATTGTTCTCACTGTCACACCTCGTTGCACATCTTTTGTCACATTTTAATTGTAAAATTTCTGCACTGTCTGTTCTCCAATGTAATTTTTATTGTTTCATTTATTCACTCTTCCAAAACTGTCCAAAACAATAATTGTTCATCTTTCTTAGCATAATATATTAATTATTCCTTCCATAATTGATTGTATCAATTAAATTGCTTTTTTTTTTTATTTTATTAGATACCCTTTCTGTATTTTTCTCTTAATAAGTGATATTAT